CTCCCTGCTGTCTCTCTCCCTCCCCTTCTGTGTTTGTCTTGTCTCCACCTTCCTGGGCGTGGCTACTCACCTGGCTCCACTTGCCACTCATCTCCAGCTGCATAAGAAGCCTCGTTCCCAGCAAGTCGATGCCAGTTCGTTGTCGCTTCTTGTTAGTGAAACATTTATGGTCTCTGCGCTACGATTGTGATTATTTGTTGTACTTACCTCGCTTCCTGTGCGTAGATCCTGCCTGCCTGTCTGTTCCTGTCTGCCATTGCCCGCCTGCCTCTGCCTGCCTGCCTCAGCCTGCCTGCCTCTGCCTGCCTGCCTCTGCCTCTGTCCACATCACGTGCTTCATTGCATATTCTCCTTTTGTAAATAAACCCTTCTCTCGCCGATCTGTGTCTAGTCTTGGGTTCTGTTAAACCGTGACACTCTAGTTTCTCTCTCTGGTCTTTCTCTAGTTTCTCTCTGGTGTCTCTATCTCTGGTCTCTCTCTGGTATCTCTCTTTCTCTCTGATGTCTCTCTCTGGTTTATCTCTCTGGTTTCTCTCTCTCTGGTTTCTCTCTGGTATCTCTCTGGCCTCACTCTTGTATCTCTCTCTGGTATCTCTCTCCCTGGTATCTCTCTCTGATCTCTCTCTGGTTTCTCTCTCTGGTATCTCTCTCTCTCTGGTATCTCTCTCTGGTCTCTAGTTTCTCTCTCTGGTCTTTCTCTAGTTTCTCTCTGGTGTCTCTCTGGTGTCTCTATCTCTGGTCTCTCTCTCTGGTATCTCTCTCCCTGGTCTCTCTCTGGTATCTCTTTTTCTCTCTGGTTTCTCTCTTTGGTATCATCTCTGGTCTCACTCTGGTCTCACTCTGGTCTCACTCTGGTCTCTCTCTCATGGTCTCTCTCTGGTCTCACTCTGGTCTCTCTCTCTGGTATCTCACTCCCTGGTCTCTCTCTGGTATCTCTCTTTCTCACTGGTATCTCTCTCTGGTCTCTCTCTGGTCTGATACTCTTGTCTCATAAACCGTGTTAAAGTGAAGCTGTTTGTGCTAAATGTGTCATGAAATATTCACAACCGTCACAAAAGATAAGGGACAGAGTTGGATCATGGAGAAAAGAGGAAAGAGCATTTTGCAGAATTCCTTATAAGTGAAAATCTATGTTTCCCTCTGACCTCTTTTTGGTCTCTGGGGTCTCGCTCTGGTCTCTCTGTTGTCAGTCTCAGGTCTCCCTTGGGTGTCTGGTCTCTCTCTGGTCTCTCTCACTGGTTTCTGTCTGGTCTCCCTCTGGTTTCTCCCTGGTCCCCCTCTGGTTTCTCTCATGGTCTCTCCCAGGTCTCCCTCTGGTCTCTTTCTAGTTTCTGGTCTCTGCTTTTGGGTGCAGTAGTGTGTGTATAATCCTTGTGGGCGTTAAACACAGGATTTGAACATAAAGCGAATGCTCCATGAAAGTTTAAAGCCCACTCTCTGGAGCTGCATCAATAATAGAGCTGTGTTCACATCTGGACTCCAGCAAAACGCTCCCTTCTAAACACATCCCACATCATAAAAAACACGGTTTAAAGCTCGGAAACGTAACTTTCAGACTACAGCAGTAGAACTCCATGTCACTAGTTATTTTTTTCTATTCTTTATTTGCTCCATTGTTTCATGGTGATGCCACAAAATAGGAGTAAGATGAAGAATAATCTGATAAACTTCGACAGTTTCTAGCTCTCAAACTGTTGGGGTGGATCTGGTCTAGGTGTGGGTTTAAGTCTGGTCCAGGTCCGAATCTGGTCCTGGTCTATTTTTGGTATAGGTCTAGTTTTCATATCTTGTATTGTTGGCCTCTGTCACAGGTATTTCAGACAGAAAAGTCTCCTCCTCTCTGCACCTCTCTCCTCTTCTCTACTCATCTCTCTCCCCTCTTCTCACCTCTCTCCCCTCTTCTCTCTTCTCTACTCACCCCTCTTTTCTCTCCTCTCCTGGGCCTCCTTTAGCGGGTCGTCAGCAGAAACATATCCCTTCAGCCTCTGGCATCAGCAGAAAACATGTTACCTCCACCTTCCCACAATGTTTTTTTTGTTTTTTTTTCCCTGACCACAGGACCAAGTATGGTGATAGAATAAACTGTTTTAGAGTCACAAACTAGTGACATGGATTTTATTTAGCATTCTAAAAGTATTGACACAAAACACAATTATCTCTGGATTTAATTATTTTTTTACGTCAGACCAAGGTTCCATGTGTGTATTGTTCTGTTCTCGGGCATTTTCGTAATAAAGTGAAAGTGTAAAAAAAGCAGAAAGGGATCAAACCATAGATTTATGAGTCGCCCGCATAATATACGGTCATATATATATATGGTTAAAGTATTGAGACTCCTTTATGAGGCTGCTGCCCCCTGGTGGACCCTTTGTGTCACCGCACTGAGCTCCGTGGATACATCAGTTTTCGCCAACTCTCATCCTTCAGAGTGACATGGATGTGTTTACATAGTTATAGCTTTAGGGTTTGAAAGTTACGTATCTTTAAGTCAAACACAGCTTCTTTACTTCGAATTACAATACTGGTTTGAGAGTATAAATAGACAGTATATACAGGTCCTTCTAAAATTTGCATGTTGAGATAAACTTTATTATTCATATATTTTAGACTCATTACACACAACTGAAGTAGTTAAAGCCTTTTATTGGTTTTGATGATTTTAGCAAAAAATCTCGATCTAAAAAAATTAGCATATGTCATCCGACCAATAAAAGAAAAGTGTTTTTTATACAAAAAAGTCAACCTTCAAATAATGATGTTCAGTTATGCACTCAATACTTTATCAGGAATCCTTTTGTAGAAATGAATGCTTCAATACGGCGTGGCATGGAGGCAATCAACTGGTGGCACTGCTGAGGTGTTATGGAGCCTGCAGGATGCTTCGATAGTGGCCTTAAGTTCATCCACAGTGTTGGGTCTGGTGACTCTCAACTTCCTCTTCACAATATCTCACAGATTCATGGGGTTCAGGTCAGGAGAGTTGGCAGGCCAACTGAGTACAGAAATCCCACGATCAGTAAACCATTTACCAGTGGTTTTGGCACTGTGAGCAGGTGCCAGGTCGTGCTGAAAAAGGAATTCTTCATCTCCATAAAGCTTTTCAGCAGATTGAAGCATGAAGTGCCCCAGAATCTCCTGATAGCCAGCTGCATTGACCCTGCCCTTGATAAAACACAGTGGACCACCACCAGCAGCTGACATGACACCCCAGACCATCACTGACTGTGGGTACTTGACTTTGGACTTCAGGCATTTTGTCATTTCCTTCTCCCCAGTTTTCCTCCACACTCTGGCACCTTGATTTCATCCGAAAAAAGTACTTTGGACCATTGAGCAACAGTCCAGTGCTGCTTCTCTGTAGCCCAGGTCAGGCGCTTCTCCCGCTGTTTCTGGTTGTGGTTTCTGTAGCTCATTTCCTGCACACGCCTGTGCACGATGGCTGTGGATGTTTCTGCTCCAGACTCAGTCCACTGCTTCCGCAAGTCCCCCAAGGTCTGGAATTGGCCCTTCACCACCATCCTCCGCAAGGTCTGGTCACCTCTTGGGGTTGTGCAGCGTTTTCTGCCACACTTTTTCCTTTCCACTGAGGTGCCTTGATACAGCACTCTGGGAACAGCCTATTCGCTCAGAAATGTCTTTCTGTGTCTTACCGTCTTGCTTGAGGGAGTCAATGATTGCCTTCTGGACAGCAGTCAGGTAGTCTGACCCATGATTGCAGATTTTGAGTAATGAACCAGGCCGGGAGTTTTTAAAAGCCTCAGGAATCTTCTGCAAGTGTTTAGAGTTAATTTGTTGGTTCAGATGATTAGGTTAATGGCTCGTTTATACCTTTTCATGATATGCAGCAGAGGTGGTTCAGGACAGGTAATAATAATAATGCATCGGTTTTATATAGCGCTTTTTTTGGACACTCAAAGACGCTTTACATGTCATTATTATTTCACCCCATACACAGTCGTGATAAACTACTACTGTAGCCACAGCTGCCCTGGGGCACACTGACAGAAGCGAGGCAACCAGTATATGCCATCGGCCCCTCCCACCACCACCAACCATTCACACACTAGGCAATAGGGGTGGGTCTTGCCTAAGGACACAACAGCAGTTTGACACTATACAGCCACTGTACACTGTGGCAACTAGTGTTCCCAGAGGTTAAGTGTCTTGCCAAGGACACAAGGACAGCAGACAGTGGGAGTCAATGGTGAGAGTCGGGCTCGAACCCACGACCCTCTGGCTCAAAGGCCAATACTCTACCAATGCTACTGTCGCCCCGTCAGAGCAGCAGAGATGGAGTAGCATCTGGGTGGAGTAGGACGGGTCACAGCAGCAGAGGTGGAGTAAACTCTGGGTGGAGCAGGACGGGTCACAGCAGCAGAGGTGGAGTAGCCTCTGGGTGGAGAAGGATGGGTCACAAGGTGGAGTAGCCACTTGGTTTGGACCATTTCCTCTGCTCTAGTCCAAAGTAAAATGCTTATGCTTCATTCGCATTTTTCAAAAAGTTAGCAGTCCTCCAGTGGATTATCTCCTGATCCGCTTGGTTCGGACCATGAATCCGCTCTGCTCTGGTCTGGACCTAGACTGTAATGGACCAGTGCAAAACCATGAACACTGCACTGCAGCAACATCTAGAAAAAAGCAATAAAAATAAAAATTGTGAAGCACAAAACCAAAACTGTTTCAGAGCTACTAAGGACTTGCAGCCGTTTTCCAGCGCATTCAAAAGTAAAAAGAAAAAAAATCACACGTTTAATCCTCCAGATGGGAGTGTTGTGTTCATAATTAATTAAATGCAAAAGTAAATGAACGATGGAAAACACGTGTTAAAAGCACAGACTGATCACAGACAATTATGTATATTATTAATTTAATAATCATAATATCTGTAAAGTCATTAAAAATAATCCTAGTCTTTGGTTGTGTAACTTCTCTTTTCCCGCCTCTTGAGCCTCAGCCGCGGTCTGCTGTCTTCATCACCACCGGGAAATTAACTCTTCAAAATGGTGTTCCTTAAGCAGATCGACGTGGAAAACTTCAAATCCTGGAGAGGAAAACAGACCATCGGGCCTTTCCTCCGCTTCAGCTGCATCATCGGGACGAACGGCTCCGGTAACACAGCTTTATCCCCGAACCGCGCACATCTGTCTCAAGCTAACATCAGAGCTAAACTAACTTTCACAATTTAAGGCGTTTTAATGACACTTCCCTGCTTTTAATTTCTAATATAAATACATGAATATTCCAAACTATAGTTAATGTCTATTTGAGCTTTGAATACGATTTATTTCAAGCTTTAGCTAGCCATATTTGGTGCGAAGCTAAAGTTGATGTATTTGGGGTTAAAAAAAGACCGCGTTTTAAGGTCAGTTATCTGGTCATAAACTCAAAAGAAGGATTCAAAGTAAACACATCAATCATGTAAACTGTAGGAACTTTCAAATTGTGAGTTTTTATTTCTGTATAAATTAATATTTTAGATGTATGTTTTTATAGAAGTTCAAAGTTCCATGGAGCAAAGCTAACCTAGCTTTAGCACAGTGCAGTCCATGGCAGCTTTATGACTCAGTGTTATTATTCATTCTGCTTATGGCTATACTTTTCCTGGGAAAAGTATAGTAACGCCTTAGCTATTGACAATTACATAACGCAAAGCTGTTTCCTTTTCGATCCGCCGCAATGTTACTTTTTATGCATCAGTCATGAATCGTGCTCAGTTCTCATTCCACATGGTATGTGAACCGAGAGGCCACAAGTGATGGCGCTCATAATTGTGGAGTGTCGCACTTTTAACTCATAGCCTGATCTCATATACTCAAGTACCTCATTGTCTGCACTAATGGACTTTTTCTCATCAAAAGAAAAAAAAGTCAGCCTCACTGACACTGCTGGGAGTGGCAATTTCTCTTTAGTTTCTTCTCAGCTGGCGCTTAATCATGGGGTTAGATCTGTGGCATTTTTGATCATAAAGAGCATGAAAGAAATATCTGTTATGATTTTCATAATAGAACTTCTACCACACGTTCAAGAACAGTTCTGTCGAGCATAATAACAGTAACACAAAGGTTAAGAGAAACGTAATTATTAGTCACGAGTAAAGTAACATAGTTACTCTCTAAGAAAGTAACTAAGTAAAGTTACAAGTTACTTTTCAAAAGAAGTAATCAGAAAAGTTGCTTTTTAAAAGTATCTTCCCCAACACTGATTGAGGGTGAATGATGTGTTTTTCTCTTTGTGTCTTTCCAGGTAAATCTAACGTTATGGATGCCATCTGCTTTGCCACTGGAGAGCGCTCTTCTACTCTGCGGGTCAAACATCTGCGAGACCTGATCCACGGGGCTCACACCGGTCAGCCAGTGTCCCGCTCCGCCACAGTCTGTCTGAGGTACTGTAACAAGGAGGAGGAAGAAGAGGAGGAGGCCAGCTTCAGCCGCACCATCACAGGTAAGCTTTAGAAACTGAAATAAATACATTTCAGTAATTGATAAGTTATACTAGGAATTTGATGGATGAAAAAATTTATGGATGGATGGAGTTATACCTTATTGTTCCCATGGGGAAATTTGTCCTTTGCACTTGACCCATTCTTCATTGCCGCTAGGCATCCTAACCCTAACCCAGGAGCAGTGGTCACTATAGTACAGCACCTGGGGACCCAACTCCAGATGTTGATGCTTGGCTTGGTCAGGACTATAGGAGTTGTAGGATTTTACCTATTGTACATGTTTTTTTAGTGCTAAGGGAATCCGGAGCATCCAGAGAAAACCTGCACAGACGAGGGGAGAACTTGCCTGTTCTGACTGGGTTAAACCCAGGACCTTGTTGCTGATAAGCGTGAGTGCTATCCACTCAGCCACATGGCTTCCAGCAGCACTCGGGCCAATAACTGTCAGTTAGAGCCTTTTAGTACCAACTCGGCCTGGATAGAACCAGTGCCCAGAGGGACTAGAGAAGGTACCTGCTAAACAGGGGTAAAGTAGAGTAGAGCGTCCCGTTCAAAAAGTCAAAAAAATCAGTTTTTGAGCCTGGTCTCAGCTCTAGGCGGGAAATATTTTTGAAACAGATCTGTTTCTCTGTGAATTTCTATAATTTGTGAAACTGGCTGCCATTTTGTGCTGTTGGAGATCCGCTTCTTAACGCATTTTCATGTGGGAGGGGGCCACTCGGGAGACACTTGTGGTTTGAATGGGAGAATAGGCCATATTTTCACCGTCTGATGCTAATATCTTCTGTAAACATGGGATTATCCAGGCGACTCCTCAGAATACCGGATCAATGGAGCTCAGGTCACTCTGGTCCAGTACCTGAAACAGCTGGAGGAGATTGGCATCATCACCAAAGCCCAGAACTGCCTCGTCTTCCAGGTCTCCCCAGTCCAAACATCTCCTCTATCTGCTTCCTTCAGTTGTGTCCTGTTAAAACAGCTCTTCTTTGTCCATAGGGAGCAGTAGAATCCATTGCCCTCAAAGACCCCAAAGAGAGGACTAAGATGTTTGAGAGCATCAGTCAGTCCAGAGAGCTGGCCTCACAGTACGAGCAGAAGAAGACAGCCATGCTGCGCGCCAAAGAGGACACACAGTTCCACTTCAATAAGAAGAAGTCTGCGGTGGTGGAGAGGAAGCAGGTGTCGCAGGAGAAACTTGAGGTGAGTCTTTTCATGAAGGACGTCAAAGCAATGTCATCTTTTTGAAACAAAATCTGAACTCTGAACAGTGTCACTTTGGGTGACCTTGGTCTGTAAAAATGCACTATATAAGTTAAGATTACATACTTACGTTTTTAGCTTTCTTCATGTTCTTTCCACTGTTCTTCCTATAGTTATTTTTAGCTCCATCCACACAATATCAGGAATTTCTTACACAAACACACTTTTTAAACTCAAATCTTCTCTGCTCTCTCTTTGGTCTCTCTCTGGTTCTGGTCTCTCTCTAACTTTAACACATGTAGTTTGTCAAACAAGAATGCTGTTTTCATCTCATAAGACAACCTGTTATATTTTGCAAACTTGTAAGAGAGTCACTATTTGACTCTTTGGCTGAGAGCTGATTGACTGAGTTTTGACTGAGAAAACGCTCTTTTTCAGTTTTCTGTCTGAAAATGGATGTTAGTAGATTTCTTCTGTTGTGATATGAAAGATGCGTCCCTCATCTTGAAAACAACAGATAAAACACAAGTATTATGTGTGATCGACGTAAACCAAAGCTGTTGAAGGACGATGGCTCTCCTGCAGTAGTTATATCCTCACTCGTGCCTGTGTCCTTGTGTGGCAGGCGGAGCAGTACCAGTCTCTGCTGGACCAGCTGAATGAGGAGCGGCTGCAGCTCAGTCTGACTCGACTCTTCCACAGTGAACGAAGCATCAACTCTGTGTGTGACACACTCAAAGAGAAGCAGCAGGTGGCGCTGTCCAAGCAGACGCATGTGACCGACGGGGAGCTTAACGTCAAAGCCCAGAAGAAGGAGCACGGCAGACTTCAACGGGATGCTCAGCTGCTTGAGAAGGACATACGGTACTGACCGTAATCTGAGTGTACTCTGACTGTAATCTGATCATAATCTGGCTATACTCTGACTGTAATCTAATCATAATCTGACTGTAATCTATTCATAATCTGACTATACTCTCACTGTAATCTTATCATAATCTGACTGCAGTCTGATGATAATCTGACCATAATCAGGCCGTCAAGATTTATGTTACTGACCACAATCTGACTTTAAAATCCTAGTCCGAATACAGGGAATGGGTTCTACAGAATCTTACAGTTTTAACACTGTGGGTGACGTCAGCTCTCTGTGGTCTTAAAGTTAACAACATTTACAAAATCTGAAACATTATTTCCACTTCTAGTAAAAACCTCATCTTCTGTTTCAATCATCTTTGCTGTGATGTTCAGAGCTGAGGAGCAGGCTCTGTCCCAGTGCCGCTCTCGCTACATCAAGGCCAAAGTGAACGCCTCCCACCACAAGAAGAAGGAAGAAGAAACCAGGTCTGCAGTGAAGAGAGCCCAGGAGCAGCTGCTGCTAAAGAGACAGCAGCTCACTGAAGGCAAGCAGGAGGTGAAGGAGCTGGAGGAGGTCTGGAGGAGGCACAAGAGGGAGGCACATAGAGACAGGAGTGAAGGAGAGGTGCAGCTGGATCCACAACAGGTACAGAGACTGGGCTAGCTTAGTAGAGTAAAATAGGGTTCCACAAAATGACATCGCACTGACTTGGATAAAATTGATTGAGTTTTAATGTGAAGATAACGATTCTTCCCTTCAACAGTGTCACCATGTCTTTTGGTCTTCAGCTTGAGTGTTACCATGTCTCTTTGTCTTCAGCTTGAGTGTTACCATGTCACTTTGGTCTTCAGCTTGAGTGTTACCATGTCACTTTGGTCTTCAGCTTGAGCGTTACCATGTCACTTTGGTCTTCAGCTTGAGCGTTACCATGAGTTGAAGGAGGTCTCGAGGCGGCAGAGTGCAGTGTTGAACCAACAGGCCGACAAACTGGAGCTGCAGATCAAAGCCGACCAAGAGAGACTGACTCTGGATCAGCGGCGATGCAAAGAAGTCCAGGTCACAATATAGCTCCATACTAAACCATAAAATCATCTTTGTAATTTCTTATCATTTTTTATTACTAACAACGAATAACTGGGGCTCAGACCTTGGTGCTGGTCCCCCCAGGGCTCAGACCTTTTCTCACCTGCGTCATGTGACTCCTGACCTGTGTCCAGGCCGCCATCAGGAACTGTCAGAACCAGCTGGAGGACGAAACACGACGAGCTGAGAAACTGGAGGAATACACCTCTGTCTGCAAGTGTGTGTGTGTGTGTGTGTCTGTCTATGTGTATTTGTGCGTGTGTTCTGTCTGTGTGAGTATGTCATCCCCTCTTGAGCCTCCTGTCTGACCTCCTCCTTCCTCTAGAACCTCCATCACCTCCCTTCAGCAGCAGGAGCACACCCTGAGCTCGAAGCTGCAGGCTGGAGCTGTTAGAGCAGAGCAGGTTCAGCTGGAGCTCACCTCTGTTGTGGAAGAACTGGGAAACGCACGACTGGAGACACATGAGAGCAGACGACAGATCCAGAGGAAGGAGGTCCTGGAGCGACTACAGAGAGTATGTCCGGATACTGTGGTAAGAGGAGAGAGGAGCAACTGAAGAGTGTGTCTGGATACTGTGGTAAGAGAGGAAAGGAGAAACTGCAGAGAGTGTGTCAAGATACTGTGGTTAGAGAGGAGACCAACACTAACACTGCTAATCACAGTTCACCATCCCCAGTGTCAGATAGGGGGTTGGCAGCATCATGCTATGGGGCTGCTTTTCTTCAGCAGGCACAGGTAAGCTATGAATGGAAAATAATGAAGGACATTTTGGAAGAAAATCTGCTGGAGACTAATACAATCTGTACTTGTTGATGTGAACAGTTGAAAAAGTATTAGTATTAGTTTTTTACTTGATAAGATTCAAATACGGGTTTATCTTAACAATGTTTTGGTGAGCCGTCTATCCAAGGCCAGACCACTCGCAGGACTCACTGTTTGTGAAGCTGCAGAATTTGAGTCTACTTCTTTCCACAGTTTGGGCGCCTTTCGGACCTGGTCAGTCCCATCCATAAGAAGTACCAGCTGGCGGTGATCAAACTGTTCAGCCGATTCCTCAACTCCATCGTGGTGAGCTCCGAGCGCGTGGCCAGAGAATGTATCCACTTCCTGAAAGAGGAGCGCTGCGAACCAGAGACCTTCCTGCCCGTAGACTACCTGGACGTAAGCACACAATGAGCTGCTGTCTGCACCTAAAGGGCCTTTTCACAGCTTCTATCACTCACACTAGAAAAAGGAGAGGGGAGGTAGAGAAGAGGAAGGGAAAGAGAGGAGAGTGTGTCCAGATACTGTGGTAAGACAATAGAGGGGGAGAGGGAAGAGGAGAGGAGAGGCCGCAGATAGTATGTCCAGATACTGTGGTAAGAGGGGAGAGGAGAGAGGGCAGGATCTCATGAGCAGAGTTGATTGTCGTTCACACGTTTCTCATCTTTCAGGTCCATCCGGTGAACGAGCGGCTGAGGGAGCTTCCTGGAGCTAAGATGGCCATTGACGTGGTTCAGGTGAACACAGCACTGCAAAAAATGTGCTTCATTGACACCGTTGAAAACGAATCAAAAAAGAGCGAATAAGTGCCAGTGTTACAGATCTGATGAACTAAGGAGGATAGGTGAGGCAGGGTAACATGGGGGGTAACTGCGGACACTCAATTTAATATACTCTTTTATAGCCCTAAATCACAACAGTAGTAGCCTGGTCGTACCACACCAAAGTACAAATGACATTTCGTACTAAGGTCTGGAGGTGCTCCATTGAGCTCCGTTTACAGGTGGGAGGGGTTAACTCCTTTTGCAGATTGAAACGATTGGATCTGAGTTTACCGTGACGTATGTAGTGCGCCCGAGTCTGTTGTTAGCATTTTGCCTATTCATCTCCTTTGCCGCTAACGGAGCCCGTGGGGAGTAGCGCCACAATTTTTTCCAGCGATTACATTTGCTAAACATTACCCTTGCTCCGGCTTCAATTTCTTGAGCGAACCAGACCGGATTACTTTACTATCGCATTTTTCGCCATTACCAAACTACAACCTGCCTGTTCAACGCAAACTCTTGACATCACCCACATCTAACTACAACACCCGCCTTCCGCGTTCTCTGAATGGTCGAAATTCAACCGACCATTCCCTGTGTTACCGACCATTCCCTGTGTCCCTGTGTTACCAGAATTGGTAACACAGGGACCAGACCCAGACGTTACATACAGTGAAATTATGATTGAACGGAGTGTACGGATGGCTAAGGCCAGGCTTCAACAGTAGTTGTCTCAGAGGACTTTACAAAACTGATGAATTCGCCAACACAGATCAATGATTCAACAGTTCAACACAAGAATTGCAACAATAAAAAGAGCCATTGGTCCATAAGAGGCAAATTATGATAAATGTTGTTGAATGTTGAGTTGAGTGTCCTTTATCATCACCACTGTCACCATAGTCTAGTCTAGTTAGACCCTCTAACAGTCAAACAGACCCTCCTGCATCGGCAAGGAAGAACTCTAAAACCCAGTGGGAAAAAGGTGACCAACCTCTGGGAGATCCACACTGAGAGAGGGATCTGCTCCACACAAGCGGACAGGCTGTAAATCCAGAAATCAGGTTACAGAACGAGGACCAGGGCCTCGTGGTGCAGGACTCAGGTTGTAGAACGAGAACAGACGGCGTGCAGGACTGTAGCAGCTCCCAAGCGGGGACAGGTGCAGCCCACGAGCCGGGCCGGGCAGGACAGTCCCATCATTACGCTATGAAACAGACAATGGGACAGCGGGTGAATAGCAATGCATATACTACAGCTGAAATCATAATGCGGACAGGTGAATTAGGAAGGGGGAGAAGATACCATACTTCTCCCAGCAAACCGACTCCATAGGCGGGTTGACTGACAATATTAAGATTGTCACATTACAGGTGATTGGAGAGACAGGGTAACATGGGGGCCAACTGCAGACATCATAGGTAGTGATGCATCAATACTACGTTAACGAGCTATACCCGTTTCTGCAAGGTTTGAATGTTTAGCACCGCCCCCCAACTCGCTCACAGGCTTCTCATTTCCCCTACGCTCTCATCCCACGGAGTCATCTAGTTTTACTTGTGATCTTTATGCAAACATTAGCATGAGCGCAACTTCTTGTAAGCTGTACAACAATCACTGATGAAATTGTACAAAAGCAACGCATTGCTAGCAAAATATATAACTGAAAAATTACCGGCTAGTTCCGTGTCCGAATGTATCCGAGCATCTCACTGTTGTGTCATTTGGACTGTTTTGCTGTGTCTGCAGTTACAGCAAGAGGAGGTATAGCCACTTATGCTAACATGCTACTGTGTTTAGCAGCGCTGTAGAGGCTAGAGGACGCAGCCTCGTTTTTTGAGTGGAGGAGAGCGGCATCACGCCAAGTCTCTACTGAGCACTTTTTACGGCCTGAATTCATACACAGCTGAATCAATGAGCTCAAGTTTTCAATTAAATTCTTATAATACAACTTGTAGTAATAAACATTTTTATGAACTCATTAACAAAAATTGGGTATAGCATCTTTAATTCAAAACCCATGCAAGTACAAGTACCATATTTTGAGTACTTGCCGATACCGAATACTGATACGAGTACTGCATTATGTTATAAAACTAATATTATGTTTTAACATTTAAAATGTTTTATTTCTCATTTCAACAATAACCCAATGCTTTAACAATTAAACATTTCAGCAAATATTTTAACAGTCAACAAAAAGAGCCACTGTCATATTCCACTCATACAAATAATACGTAGAAATAGCTCCGGTGCTAGCAAAGGTGATATACTCTGAGTGGTGGTGAGTTTTTAGAAGTTGCTGGTGTGATATATTTGTATATGTTTTGGACCCACCTTGTGACAATTTTGCCTTAAACAACGTACAGTCCACATTACTCTTGTCATTCTCGTTTACTTTAAAAAACTATACGACCGACATCCTGTCCGCTTGCTTCTTGCTGCTGTCCTGTCCGCTATCCGCCTTCTCGCTGCCGACTTTGGGAGATCACCATGACAACACGTGTGAAGCTAATGTAAATTCAAAATTTGGGTATCGGTTGAGGGCATTGGGTCCTATGGTATGCGTATGAGTACGAGTACAAGCCTATAGTATCGACCCGGTACCAGGATTGGTAATGGTGCATCCCTGATCATTGGTGAGAGGAGAGGCAGGTTCACATGGGGGGGTAACTGCAGACATCACAGGTGAGAGGAGAGACAGTGTTTCCCACAGATTTGGAGATTTGAAAGCAATGTGTGGGGGCCCCCCCCAGGGGTGGGGGTGTGTATGTGTGTGACCGGGGGGTCAGCAGACGACCTTGTAGAAAATAATATATCAATTCTATACATTCATATAGGGATATTTTTGAGCTAGAAAGAGCTACTGAAATAAATAAAAAATGCAAAATGGTAGTGAAAGAATGTTGAACAAAAGGTCGTTGACATGAGACCCACAGGCACTTGTATCAAATCCGGAGGACTGGCAGGTTTGACATTGATTCTGGATGTTTTTTTCTTTCAATAAGTCTTGTGTCTAAATATTTACTGTCTATGATCTGATGACACCAGCCCACAGAGACCATGAGGACACAGACATCGGATTTGTGTTGCCTACATTGGTTCTCTAGGCCATACTGTCCTCTACACTTCTCCACACAGTGGGCCTCATGTATGAAACTTGCGTACGGCCAAATCAGGGTGTAAATGATGCGTACGCAAAATATTTACACTTTTCCGCATTTATCAATCTGGACGTGAACGTACGATACGCAAAAAATATACGCCAGGTCTGGAGGTGGTGTAAATGTGTACGCTGTTTTCAACCTTCATTATAACACGCCAAAACACGCATGAAATGCAAGATTTGGACAAAAATAAACTAGGGCTGTCAAACGATTAATTTTTTTAATCGAGTTAATTACAGCTTAAAAACTAGAAACT